CCATCTCTATCTTTCTGTCGCTCGGCTCACTAATGTCCGTCCTGTGCACTGAACCCTCTCTCCTCCACATCACGAGTAGACACGCCCCTTACTGCTGATTGGCTACAAGTTTGTTTTGCTAGTCGGCCCGAATCAGTTTTCTAAAGCGTTTTTGAAAAATCGCTTACCCCGCCTTTAAGATGGCTTTTGAATGCTTAGCTTGTGATCAAAGCTCTGTAGTTTTTATTGTGTGGGGCAAAACATACAATGAGATGCAATACAATGATAACTGAGAGATGAACATAACCATTCTTCAAAAGCCTGATGTATCATATATGATGCTCAAATTTTAATATGATTTTTCTTTAAAAAAATAAATATATAAATAATCAAGTAATAGATTTCGCAGCATAATGACATGCACACCACAACCTGTAGGGGGACGTTTTTTGCAAGCCTTTTACTTGCTAAAAACTATAAACTATCAATTAGACAACAGAGAAACTATGTATCAAATATGATACAGTAGGATTTATAGGGTTAATAACATTTACCTAACAGAAACACTGCTGAGAATTAGAATAAATGTGAAAATGTAGACTATGCAGGGCTTTTTTATTTTAGTCTCAAACAACACTTACTCCACATCAGCGAGCGTTTCACTGATGAACTCGAGGATATCAGCAGCTGTGCCTACAAAGATGAGTAACAACTGGGATATTTCATCTCTGGTGACTCCTCCAGCGATCGGTAGCAGCCACTTCCCCACTATCAGCAGGATCAGGACGATTTGCTGAAGGGCCAGGATCCAGTCATTGGCACACACCGATGACAAAAATTTCAGAGGGTCCTAAAATACCACCACAAAGTGAGTATTCAGCTATGAAGTGTTGCCCTCTGGAAGAACTGAGGGCACACTTACATAAAGCGTGTCCTGTAAATCTCATACAGTATGTGAAGGTGTGGTAACTTCTGAAAAAATAACAGTAGTTATGAACCATGCATGACCATGAACGCAGGTCTTGTTTGTACTGAGGGCTGAACCAACATTTGTATTTACAAATCGCCCTAGCTAGACGATGTTTTTAGAGGCAAAATAGTTTTTAGAGTGAATAAATGTCTGAAAGGCTCGGGTCTTCTTTCAGAGATTACTGTAGTCTACTTCCATGGAAAATGTCTGTAACCAGTATGAATGGCAAAGAGGCAGTACCTGTTCACTCAAGCTTCCATTGGTCAAATTTCTCCGTTCATCAAGAAATGCTTGGATGCTCTCAGATGAATCCAGATTAGTACACTGCAATAATCAGCATATAATGCATCAGGCATTGGCTTTGGGATTCACACAGGTTTTTATTTGTCTTACGTTTTCAGGGCAGCATGAAATGTGTTTGCACAGAAGAGAGAATCTAAAATGTATTTATGAAAGGTGTTAATCTACCATTACTTTCCTTTACTATTACCTTAGTATCACTTGATTTGTTTTTCTGATGGTGCAACTCAAGGATCCATATGGTTGGTATAATGCTGATGAGGAAAAACAATATTGCTGGAGAAAACCTAAAGAACAGAGTTTGAGTCACTCTGCAATATGTCACCATATCTTGCACTGTCAAATTTCACACAAGTAGCCTATTTAAGTTGCACTAGATGATATTTTATTTTAAGGTTCAGTTTGGCTCTCGAAATTCTTATGTTTGCAAAAATAAATGTTGATGACTTACCATTTGTAATCCTTCCCTTTTCTTCTTCTCAGAGTTAAAATCATTTCAACCACGAGAGGTAGATAGAGGATAGTCAGAAACCAGTATAAATTATTATTTTTAACCCATGTCACCCTCCACACACCAATGAGAGACACTAAAATAAACAACGCTCTGGTGACTACAGCGCAGATAAATTTGACAAGCATGATGTCTTTCAGAGTTTTAGGCTGATTAATGAAGCAAGGAAAGTTGTGGTTTTCACTCTGTGCTCCTCTGGAGTCTGAACAAACGAAAGCTCATTTACGTTTTTTTCTTCCCACCTTTCACATCATTTGGGCGGGACTGCTGTTCTTAATACCTAACCGTGTTAGTATTATTTATTCCTTTTCCCCTCTGAGAAAGAAAAATACAAAGTATTTCGATCTATCCGAATTGTTTAAATTATGTTTTGGTCGCCTATACGTTTCAGTGATTAGGGTACGTTTTGTTATAGTGTAGTAGGCTACAATTTGACTGAAACTTTTAGCAGAATTTTATTTTCAAGAATAAACGGTGAGGTGCAGTGTGGTCCAAATGGTTAATCAGATTGATTTAAATGATTTGATCGAACTGAATCGTAAACCATTCAATTATCAGCGATACCTTTATGGAGTGATAGGCTTAAGTAAATCTGTGAGTTGTTGAAAACATGTTGAAACATGTTGTTTTCCACACAACTCGGGAACAGGCTTTTCTAATGAAATGAATACCTATGTGACATGTAAACACACCCACACACTCACATAAAAACACCAACCTTGCATCACAAGAAGTGACTATCAAAACTATTTGTAGCCTAACTGAACAGAATTTTTATTAGGTTTACTGTCAAGATGGAAAATTTTGACTCATTTTCCCCCTGTCCCTAACACTTGAAAACATCATATATCCTAACAGACGCGCTTTATCTAGTTTATCTAGTATTTGTTTAGAATTGTGAAAAAATATAGAATTGTAAAGTACAAATAAAAAATCTGGATATGTGAGTTTTAATTATAAACGTTCTAATCAAAATTCATCTCGAACTTTTTATCTCACAATTCCGACTTTTTTAAGGCTATAGCGAGTTTATAGGGGTAGAGTGGGAGAAAACGCCCCCTTGGGGTAAAACGGATTTCACAGTGATCTAATTTTCAGCAGTAAAAAAAAGTGTTGTAAAGCTTGTTGTTTTGTAGAACATCACAGTTATAATGATATGAGAATAGTAAGGCCTGTAGATAATGAGTAGCCTACATGTTATTTAAGAAAAATATAATTATATTTTCAGAATGAGATCTTTTTTTTTTGTCAAACCTATGTGCATATGTGGGGTAAAACGCCCCAGGGGCATAGGCGGAGCATGTGTAAGGCTAAGCCTTCCCCTGGCCACTGGGACTTGGGGCAAAAATGCCACTAAATTAGACAAAAATGCCCCTGCACAAACAAATTAAATCTATTACGTCTGTTGCTAACAAAGTGAATATGAATAGACAGTGTCAATTGCGCCATAAATTAAGATCTGCTCATGTTGCAACTATTTAATTTTGTGGCATTTTTACAGTGTTGCGCATTTTAACCAATCACACACATATCTGTTGAGCTTAGGAATGCAATGGCCAATCAGAAGCGTTCAGATGAGTCATCGTTCAAACTCATCAGTTT